CACCCTTCTTGTAAATTGGAATAACTTTGGCTAGCTTCCAGTCAGAAGGGACCTCCCCAGACTCCCATGATCTTAGGTAGATGATCAAGAGGGGTCCTGTCATAACTTCTGCTAACTCCTTCAGTACTCCAGGATCCATTCCATCGGGGCCCATGGATTTATGAACATTCATCTGATACAACTGTTCCCTTACAATCTCACTGTCCACAAATGGAAAGTCACAGGTGTTGGTATCTTGGGTCCGTCTGTTTCTTCCAAAGTCTCTCCCCATTACAAGAAGGATCGAGGAAAACACTACCTGTGCCCCTGAATCTTTTAGCATTCTTCCCAGGGCCCTGAAATCTCTTTTGATCGACCTTGGACTTTTTGTTGCAACATCATTAGTATCCACATGAAAGAGACGGAGCGAGTAATAGTCCAAAGGCTATACTAAGTTCTTCACTTGTCCGGTGACATCCCTGACTAAGGCCCCTGGAGGGTGAAACGAGAGCAAGGCCTAAAAGAGTTAACTGAAATGTCTTGCTCTGTTGAGAAAAGACCCCCAATACCTGCTCTGCTTGTACTGCTAAGAAAAATTTGTTCTGTTCTGCTTACTGGACTTAAATCTAAGAAGAATACTAGAAATGCTATACAATCAACCTAGAGGCCATACATTAAGCTAAGGTAGACATTTGAATAGGAGAAATAGGCCTGGAGCCAAGGCTTTTTCCAAGCATCAGTGAGTGGGGCAAGAACGATGAAAAGGCAAGGAGGTCAAATCGAGGAAGATGAGAATACGACCCCAGACTCAGTGCTGAAGGCCGGAACGACCACTACCAATAGAAGAATCTGGAAAGCACCGCCCTAAGCTCCACCTGGACTCCACTCAGACTCCGTCAATTATCAATATGCATGATTAGATGTTATAATCATATGAATATGCATGTTAAGATGTTGTAATCATGGAGTCAGACTGTATAAATTACCCTGTTTTGCATCGATGCCTTCAAGCAAGTTTGTCCAGCGCGAGCTGGCTTGCTCCCAACGTTGTCTAAATAAATACCCTATTGCTTAAAGAAAAAAAAGTCTCTGAGCAGTTTACATTCTGAGGTTTTTTGACATCGAGGGCAGAAAATGTCCCTGAAAAGATAATTCATTCTGCAAATCAGTGCTTCTGTTCTACTCAGGAGGGAGTCACTGATGACCATAAGTCTCTGTCGTTTTTTCTCACCACTGGTCCTAATGCAAGTCTTGTTGTGAGGAGTTGATCTGACCTTGGTGAGAGTGCTTGCATAGGTTACTCCTCTTCTATCTCATCATGAACTTCATCTACCATACCCAGGTCCTCATATCTATTTTGTTAAGGTAGCAGAGAGGATAAAGAGGGGTTCCTCTTACAGTTCCATGCAGTAACCTGCTTCCACCCCTCCCTATCCCTTGTAATGCTTCCTTCCTTCTGGTACAGAACAGATCCTGGACCTACCTCTGTAGTGGCCATGCTGAGTTAACTTCTGTGTCCCAGAGACAGCAGAGCACAGCTCCGTTGGTCAATCTCCTCAGACTCCCCAGTCTACCCACCTCCTCCTGAAGCTGGGCCACCAGGCAGAGCAGCTCATCTACTTGGTCACACCTCCCACAGGTGTTTGCTATCACCCTCTATCTCCAGGAGTATCCTTGTACACACCTCACAATCTGAAGCTTGTGTGGTCACATGCTTTGACAGGAGCTCTGTCTGTGTGGCTGCATTGGTTGAACTTATACTGGGTGCTAGAAGCTCAGGAGAAGCAGAGGGTGTGGCTTTTTGCCAGGTGGTCACCTGCCTGCTGGGTCCTGCAAAGGCAGGTAGGAACCCAGATTAAGGACTCAGAAGAAAGAACTCCCTGTCCAGACGTCTTACAGAGTTGTCTGAGGAGAGCCTCAGCCACAATGTCCGGGTGTGAAACCCATCAGGATGAATCAATGCTGGATCATGTTTTGGACTGAGGGGTGTTGCTGCCTTGGGGTATGGCACACGTCATAGGAGGCAGGGGAAGAGTATTTTGGGATTGCGCAGGACTCATTATGGCATGTTTAGGGAAGGAACCAAAGGCCAGGAAAGGGAGGAATCTAGGTGATTTGGGAAGGAAGAAGTGTGGGGAAATGGAGGGGTAAGGAGATAAAAAGGGGTTGGTTGCGTGCAAATTGTTTGCTGGTCGGTACACTTGTCTGGCTATGCCTGGCATCTGATCGATGCAGTTTGTCCTATCTTATCAAATTTCTTTCTTTCTTTCTAACGCCTTTTCCTGGGTGAGAGACTCTCTGTTTGGTGTGCATGCATGTGTATGGGGGTCTGAATGCCAGAAAATGGGGTCAGACCATGCCTCGGAGGGCCTCTTCATTGTGTGTGTGTGTGTGTGTGTGTGTGTGCGTGTGTTGCCAGCAACTGGAGAAATCAGAGTGAGTGAAAAAAAATCCCACTGGAGTGGGACCAGAAGCCAGAGGTCCATGTGCCTGTGGTGCAAATAATTGTAACAACTGTGGTTTTTAAGTGAGTGTGTGAGTATTAGCAAATAGAATTAGGATAGGGCCTTGCTTGCTTATGATAACTCACAGAGAGGATATAGTTAATTTTATAATGAAGACTTTAGCAGGAACAGAAAACCTTAGAGTTTAGATAAGGGGCTTTGAAGCTCATGAGAAAGAGATCTTGAAAGTTGATAAAGAGAAGCTCCTGGAGAACATACCAGTTTTGAGTTAATTGGACAGTGCCAACTCAGCAGTTCTTAGCAAAGGTAGAAAGTTCAAGCTGAGGAAGACTTCTTACTTCATCCAAAAGACCCCCAAAGACCCTCAAAAGAAAACTCCAAGGGGGCGTTCCAAGGCGGAGTTATAGGAGTGGTGTATGTTAATGATTTCCCCTTCCACTTTTCTGGAATTTGCTGACACAGCTAATGCATATGTAACACAACTAATGTATATGTAATACTACTAATGCATATGTAACATTATACTGCATAAAAGGAGCTGAACCGAGGCGATGGGTGTGCGTGATTGGCGGAATTATCCCCTATGCACCCGGCGCCGTGAATAAACATACATGCTTCAATACTCTTTGCGAGTTTGGGGGTTTGTTTCCGCAAGTCAGCCAGCAACTGGAGAAATCAGAGGAAAAAAATCCCACTGGAGTGGGACCAGAAGCCAGAGGTCCATGTGTCTGTGGTGCAAATAACTGTAACAACTGTGGTTTGTGAGTGTGTGAGTATTAGCAAAGATCAAGCCAGACTAGCCTGTGAGTAAGGTGAAATGGTGTCACAGGTTTGAAAAGAGATGTGGGAATTTTCTTTTTCTTCCCTAGGGTCCCGTCCCTGTTTCACCCCCCCCCCCCCCCCC